TTTGGTCATACTTTCTGCTGTTTTTGTGGCTTGCATAGTGGTAGTTTGGGGCTAAAGGTTATTCCCCATGATGTTACCATGTCCCATACCTGTGGGACCCTATACCATCTTACAGCAAAATTATTCTTAAGACATACTAGATGTTGGTGTCCTTTCCCTCTGTATTTGCCTAAACCCTCATCAGTTTATTGAACCTCTTAAGAGCAGGTGAGCTTATGAACAACCTTGTCTATAAACATCAGAATTTAGCCACATGATGAGATCATTCCTGGTAGCCAGGAGTTGGAGGTAATGCTTACCTCTGTATCCTGAGCACTTAGAGTAGCACCTGGCTCATGAAACACCATGTGTTGAATGAATGAATGAAGACAAAGAAGAACAAGAGGTTTTGAAGAGAGGATGAGCAGGAATAGAGAACTCAAGTTAAGATTCACTTTGGAACACGTTAGTCATTAGATATGTGCATGCCTGACACATGTACCCCTAGAGTCTAGGATATTTTATTTTTTATCTTCATAGCCTCTACTCAGGCTCTTGACAGCTGGGATGGATTTAAGATAATAGCATATTATTTACTTGTAAACTTCATAGAACATTGAACATGCAAACAGTGTACTTGTGCCAAGTGTTATTTATTTAGTTGAAACTCTTCTTTCTTTGTATTCATATAATTTTCTGTCTAGACTGGCCAGTGAATAATAATCATGTATATTCTTTTGTGAGTAGTGTTATTAAAATTATGCTATTGGATTTAAAAATAATAGACAAAAAATGAATTTCTCTCTAAATTTCTTCAAAGAGCAGACTTCCTTGAACATTTTAAATGGTTCTGGTTACAACATAATGTCTTTTGCAGCAACTTGGATGGAACTGGAGGCCATTATTCTAAGTGAAGTAACTCAGGAATGGAAAGCCAAATACTACATATTCTCACTTATAAGTGGGAGCTAAGCTATGGGTACACAGGGACATACAGAGTGATATAATGGACATTGGAGACTCAGAAGGGAGGAGAGTAATAGATGAAAAACTACCTATGGGGTAGAGTGTACACTACTCTGGTGACAGGTATGCTAATATCCAAAACTTCACTATATAGTTCATCCGTCTAACCAAAAGCTACTTGTACTTCCAAAGCTATTGAAATTAAAAAAAAGGTTCTGGTTAACAAAAATTGAGTACACAAATGGCTTGTTACATACTATGTAAACTAAGACTCAACCTAAATCCCAGAAAAATAATTGGCTAGTTCTTTGTTTAATTAAACATCTCCAGAGAAGGTTTTAAAAGATTTTCTGACAATTCAAATAATCTATATTTATATACTTATTCATACATATGGACAGCCTTTTAATGATATCCTATAAAGGGCAATATTGTACAATATTTTCTTGGCTTGGCATATAGTGTTATACTCTGAAAATGTCAATAAATCTTAATTTCCAGTAGGATCATGGCCCCTTTTTCTTGCCATTTGGCCTGAGATGTCTAATGGTTTTGTTTATTCTTCATAGTTTTATGGAGGCAGTTGACTCCATTAATTTGAATTTACTGAAATAAAAGCCCACAATAGGAAAATAGATTAATTTTTGAGAAAGCTAATGGTAGGCTTTGACTTCCGTTACTGTTCAGTGACATTCAATGCAAAAATAATTGGATGTCAGAACATTAGAGAAATAATCATTGTTGTTTTGAGTGATCATGATGCTTATTAAGCATCCATTTCAATGCAGACTGATGCAGTAATTGATGGATGATGCCATTAATTCAAGTTTTGACTAGACAAATTTATGGTAGTTTGGTAATTTTCTTTTCTAAGCAGAATATTGAAATGAAAGATAAATGGAGTTTTGTTTTTTTTTGTTTTTAAGAAAACAAAGATGTTTACAATGTCAACAAAAAGCTCACAAATAATTTATGGGGTACAACATTTTGTACTCCTTTGGTCCGTCTTTTGTATCTTTAGCTTCATTTTAAAAATCAAGGTGACTAAGGCTGACAGAAATTCATTTGTTAATTTGTCTTTGACATTTTGTGCAGGAGCGTAAATGAATATGACAGTAGAATCTACTTTGAAAAATGAGTGTTTGAAAGCAGGAGTTTCTTATCATTTTTAGCCTCAGTGAGGATAGATCTGTGGGTGAGACCTTGATAATTTGTTGAAAATCAGTTGGCCTTGAAGAAGGCAAATGAAAAATAGAAGTCTAATGTCAATTGGACAAATGTGAAACATGTGTCCTTTAAGAAAATTTCAGGAGCTTTTGGTGGTATTTCTGGTTTGTTGATTGGTATAAAGTTTTGGTGGCATATACACCTTTTGGAGGAGTACTTTGCAGTTGAAATAGAGTGCAAACTACTTGAGAATCAAATTAGAGGGATTTCTTTTGTGGGTGGAAAAGCAGAGGCTTTGGAATTGGATGCTTCTATGTTTGGTTCCCAGGGTTGCCACTCAATGGGGGGCCCCAGTAAGGAACATGCTGTCTCCAAGCCTTTGATGGAGGTATTTTAATCTCCACTTATTCAAATTAAGTATTCTTTTTGCACAAGTGGAGATTAAAATACCTCCATCTAAGAATTTTTAAAGAATAGATAAATTTGGCATGTAGTAATCACTCAACAAATGTGTTATTTTTAGAGAAAGAGTTTCTATTATTGTTCAGATTAAGAGGGTGGCCACAGGAAAATATTTTCAGGACTACCAAAGGTTAAGAAAATGCTTACAGTATAAGGTACGGAAATTGGGGCTAGTTTAGAATTTGCTGTTTTTCAGCAAGGCAAAGATTTGGCCTATGTTATTAGAATGTGACAATTAATGATTTTCCCATGGCCTGCTCAAATGTCAGATAATTGACCCTGGTTTATGTTGTATGTCTCAAGATGAGGCCACAAGTTCCCATTGAGGTCAATTACTAGGCATAGTGTTTATATCAGACCATTGTGTCTCTGCCATTGGTCTGGCCACACACACTAATTATCGCAATCTTGAGGCATTGCAGTCATCTGGGTGAGCAGAGGCACTTGGGAGCTTCCTGCCCAGGAACCCTCTGGCCTTGGTGTGATCTGTTGGGAGATTGGTTACGTTAGTATTGGCCATAAGACAGGATCTGACAACTGCCCAGACTTTCATTATTGCCTGATATATTCTGGTCACATACTGATATTGAGCAGGTAGTAAAGGAACAGTCAGCACTTGTGGTTTTGTACTTCTTATCTTTTTCCTCACAAAAATAAAGCTGCTTTCATATTTTCTTCTTACTAACAAGACATTGAGCAACCTGGACAACATAGCAAGACCCTGTCTGTACAAAAAAAAAAAAATTTAATTGGCTGGGCAAAGTGGTATATAGTTGTAATCTCAGCTGCTCAGGAGGCTGAGGTGGGAGGATTGCTTGAGTCCAAGAGTTCAAGGCTGAAGTGAGCAGGGATCATACCAGTGCACTGCAGCCTGGGTGACAGAGCAAGAACCCTGTCTCTTAAAAAAAAAAGTATATGTATATGTGTATGTATATGTATATATGCCAGGCTCTTTTCTAAAGGTCTTGTGTTTATATTTTGTTGATCTTCACCAGCTATTGTTATTCTCAATTTGCAAAGGCAAAAAACTGTAGCACAGAGTGGATGAGTAATTTATTCAGGGTCTCACAGCAAGTAAACAGAAGAGCTAAGATTTAAATCTAGGCCATCTGGCTCCAGAATCTTTTGACAACAATATACTAACCTTCCTCTCCATAAGAAAGTATAGACAGTTATACTGAATGTATATAAAAATAACATAAACAACCATGTAAAACCTAACCAGTGATAACCATTTCTAGCACCTTATGCACATACTCCCAGATGCCTTCCTTGAACTTTGATGGAAAGTTCTCTCCCTCAAGAGAACTTTCTACTTCCAAGAAATATGCTTAGCTCTTTTCTATTTCTAAGAGCTAAGCATAATGAACAATCTGGTATATATCTTCCCAAATATACATGCAGTTATTCACATTGTACATATATAGATAATTCATATACATTCTCATATGTCCTCTTGTGTGCATTGTTCTGTTAGGCACTGTTTTTCACTCAGTATGTCCTGGAAATATTTCTGTGTGTGTCATTGTATATAATTTAACACATTTTGAAATTGACTACTTAATATGGACTGTACCACTTCTGTAGGATGGCTGTATTATAATTTCAGTGCACCACTTTCATTGATGGAGATTTAGATTGCTGTCACATTTTTTCTATGTTATTTTCAATAGTTGCATATTCTATATGATTTTCAATAGTTGCATATACTTTATTGTATGAAAGTACTATAATCTTCAGATTATTGGAAAATATGGAGATGAACTTTCTCAAAACTTGGAGTTTAAGCACATCCTTCCGTAGTTACCTCCCAGTCCCAATTAAAACACTAAGTCCAAATGATCACCTTGTCATTTGAAAAACTTTATGGAGGTATATTTTCTATATTACTCTGTGATTTTTAGTAAATATACTGAGTTCTACACCCAGTACTGTAAACCAGTTTTAGAACATTTCTGTCATTCCTTAAAAGATAAGATTCCTCTCTTATCTTTTTACTTTTAATCTCTACTTTCACACCAATCCCCAGGCAACTACTAATCTACTTTCTGTCTCTAAGATTTTTCTGTCCTGGACATTTCATGTAACATCTCACTTTTAAGAATTTGAGGCCGGGCATGGTGGCTCATGCCAGTAATCTTAGCACTTTGGGAGGCCGAGGCGGGCGGATATGAGGTCAAGAGACTGAGACCTTCCTGGCCAACATGATAAAACCCCGTCTCTACTAAAAATACAGAAAAATTAGCCGGGCATGGTGGCTCACACCTGTACTCAAAAGACTAAGGCAGGAGCTACTCAGGAGACTGAGGCAGGAGAATTGCTTGAACCCAAGAGGTGGAGGTTGCAGTGTGGTGAGATCACGCCACCGCACTCCGGCCTGGGCAATGGAGTGAGACTCCGTCAAAAAAAAAAAAAAAAAAAAAAAAAAGAACTTCATATCCATAAGTAGTATTTGTTTTGTTATTCTTTTGAATAATTTGGCTTGTATACAACAACTAGCTCTAACTGTCCATTATATTAGAGTTTGGTACTGTCTTGAATAATAATAATAGCATATATATTTCTTCCATTCCACACAGACAAACTGCTTCTCTGTTTATGAGGCTTCTTTGGTAATACTTGCCATATTACAAGAGAACTGTTAAGCTTGTTTGGTTAATTTCTTCATGTGGTAGCTTGAGAGTAATTGTGATTCTTGGCTTGGTTTGATTGAGAACTAAATATCCATTGATTTCACAGAATACTTACTACCAAAATATAGCAAAAACTTACTAGAACCTCTCCCTATAAGAAGTAACACTAAAAAGTTCTCACTTATGACATCCCAACCCTATTTTTGGTATTGTTAACTTGAAATTGCTTACAAAAGTTCTGCAATTCTTTTGGACTAAATAACTCTGTACTGTTAAAATAATTAACAAAAATAAAAATATTATTTTATCGCCATTTTTAAGAAGCTCAGGGAGAGTGGAAAAATAACCACCAAGCTTGTCTGCCTCTCTGTATTAGTGAGAGAAAAAATTTACAGAATGATGTTAACTATATTCTAAAATCTTAGCACACCAAAGTACAAAGTCAGGGATGGAAAAGTTTCTGTGTGTAGCCTTTGAAATGTATCTATAAGTAGAAGGCATTCCCAAGTCATATGCTGAAGAGAGGTGAAATGGTTTAGAGGCGGAGTTCCCAGTTACCACTCTACCTATTTCAGGCAGATTCTGTCACCATCAGCCCTTATAGGTCCCATAACTTACTTGATTTTGGTGACTTCTTTATCAATCAGTAATTAACACCTGAAGAGGAAAACGTTTTCTTTAGAGGAAATAACAAATTTATCTTCAATACCTTTGAAACCTAAATGGTTGCTTAGGTAACAGCTGTTGCATTTTATTATCACTGGCAAGTGGGAAAGGTGGCTTCCTCAACTTGTGTTTGTCTTCTAAAGGAAAAACCAAAGCAATATATAGCAACTGATGCTTATCCAGAAAAGATAACTCATGTGAACAGAAGCAAAGAGATGTGGACATCTAAATAAACCCAGACACTTTGTTCTTCAGAACTTTTAAACATAGACATTTTCTCTCATTGTGAGGGAGTGAGCTGTGCTCAGTTGTGTGTGTAGTCAGGATGTTGCTGAAGTAAACTAGCTTCGTCTGCCCTGTGCCCCTTCTCCTCTGGTTTGGTGTCATGCTTGTCTCCTTTCTAAGACCAGGTTAACCATACTTGGTCTCTTCTGTCCTCTTTAACATATTCATCTGCTTTACTGCGCCTGTGTACGATTTGAGGTTCTAAATCCTTGAATTGGGGAGTGACAACTTACAGATACCCACAGAGACCATGTATCTATCCTACCTGATCTTGCAGAGTGCCCAACACTGAATGAGTCCTCTGTCTAAGAGTACCACTAACCATCTCCTTGGGGGTGATTATCTGCTGTTTAAAAAGAATGTACAGGTTGGATCTCTAAATCTAGCAACCACATCAGAGATCTTAGATGATGATTCACTGGAAGAGAATGGGTTGGGAGTATTCAGGTAAAGAGAAGAAGCATTTTTTTTTTTTTCATTTGATCTTACTGCACATTAATTTTGAGTAAATTCAGTAGTACAAATCAGATCAACCAACGGATATTCACATTTTGAGTGCCCCATACTTCCTGAGTTCCTAAGAGTGTGCTGAAGGGTGGAGTGCTTATCTTCAAATAATAGTGCTTCTGCACCACACAGCTTTCTTTCTGACAGAACACTTGAGGCTGCCGTTGTTGGGACACATTGAGGGGAGGAGACCCAGCTATTTTTACAAGAATCTTTGGGTACAGAAATTGGGGGAGGGAAGATGTGAAAAATAATGCCTCTTATGGGTGGGGAGGGAATGGATGTGAGAAGATAGACTACCTAAAAGCAGCCATGATTGGCGAGCACCTGCTGTGTGCCTAGACTATGCTAGGTGCTCTACAGCTCGTTATCTCATTTAATCTTATGAGGCAGGTTGTGGTATCCATATTTTTATAGAAAGGGAAACTGGCTTGGAAAGGTCAATACTTCCTAAAAAAGAAAAATGAAAAAAAGAGGGAATTTAAGTCTAATTCTTTCTACTTTGTAACTAATTCCTCTTAAGACTAACATGTTCCTTCCTCTCTCCAGTTCCAAAATATCTCCCCTTCCACAGTCCTGAATTTTTTCACTTCTCTTTTGTATACCCTTGAACTGGAGGCATTTACAGCTGTGAGAACATAGACCTTCTGAAATGCAGACATCCTAGGGAAGAGAAATGTGCCTTACTATGTGAGTTGACTTTTGCCTTGCTTTGCTCAACTCCTAGCTGAGAATACCTGGACTTAAGATAATCGGGGCTATGCATGGGAAGGAAAGAGAGAAGAGGTACTATTTAAGCTTGGACCTCTACAGGGTTGGGACTGGGAGCCCCATCCTGAGGGCTCAAGGAAGCACAGACTCCTGAGGAGATGGCCACTAGAAGGAGGGCAAGACTTCACCAAAGGCTAACTTTCCCCCTTCCGTTTTTGTTAAAGTTTTTCATCACGGAAAGGGAGGAAGTGCTCCAGGAAGGTCTAGAGCTTGGTTTAGTTCCTCTTTCAGTAGAATTGGGATCCACAGTTAAATGATGAATCAGTTAAGGGTGGACATAATTTTTTCAGAAGTATACATGCTCACCATAAACATTTTATTAACTTTAGAAATAGCAATGTTTAGGATCTGTCAATGTTTTATGTAGTGTCAAGGAATTTTCTTTTGAATATGGGTCCTTTGATTTGGGCCATTTGTTATCTTTCCTGCATAAGCCATAATCATCAATGTCCAGTCTTTATTTTTTTAAAGTGATGCCAGAGCATCAAAACTGCCAAGAAGCCCAATAGTGAATCCTTCCACATTTTAAGTCACATTTTCCTCTTAAGAATATTAAAGCTGTCTCAACCACATCTAATTTTGCAGCAATCTTTTGGTAAAGCTGTTTACCTTCATCAAGTCGTTCTAAAGCATTCAATTTAGTTTTGTAGAAATAACAGTGCACTTTCTTTCCAGACTCCAGTTTCATTGATTACTCAATATTTAATTAAATTATGTAATAATGGAAACAAGCAGTTTTGGCGACAGATACGATGGGCCTTGGTAAGCATTGCACATTGACTAATGGGAGCAGAGCTGCCAAGCTCAGTTTGGCCGATACTAATGACAACAAGTGGTTGCTTAATCATCCACACATGCATCAGTATGTCTGAATGAGGGGTAACTAATACAGTGTGAGAATCAAGTAGAATTGTTCAAGAGAAGTTTAACTATAGTCAGATGCTACAACTGCTCCTTAATGACTTGAAGGAGTTATTACGAAATCCCAACAACTTGTGTGATTTGATTTTTACTATGAGTTGTGCCTAGATTGTAAACATTCACTGTACTAATCAAAACAGCAGACCACGAAGCTGTTTTCTTCCTTGGGGAGTGGTCTAATCACAGACACACACACATACACACACACATGCACACACACGCACACATCAGTATGATCAGAGAAGGCGGGAAATGGATTTATCACCCCAGGGACTTGATGTTGCTCTTGTTAAAGGGACAAGGTCTTAAGATGTGAGCTTGCTCAAGTGTTGCCAGAGATCTTCTGCCAAGCTCTTCCTGTTATGTAAAAGCAAAAAGGAGTATGTGAAGGTTCTGACGTTATTCTGTATATGATTAGTTCATGATAGTATAGTGATTTGTTAATCTGGTTCATTACTTTAAAAAGCTCAATCATAGTCATTAACTTCTGTATTTTTACTTTTTAGGTAGGCAGAAATAATTCAGACAAGTTATTAGTTGCTAAACAATTTGGTGTTGAATGAAAAGCAAAAAGCTGGGGAAAAAACGACTTAGAGTATTAGGGTCTAACAGCCTGAAAGTCGATGCCAAACTTGATTTGTTTTTCTGCCCATGAAATTAAGTTAGATGAATTAAAACAAAAGGCAAACACAGTTATTAAAAAAAAAAACTTGTTTTTACTATTACATATTTATTTCATATAACCTTGGATTTATTTTGATTTCCATTTCTTGGTGCCTGGCACCAGAATTTGTGCAGACCTATTTCAAAACCACACATTGAAAAAACTAACACTATTGAGAATTATGGGCAATTGAATGGCAAATGGAGTTTCCAACTGGGTGCTCCAACTGGGACTCTTGAACAAGGCTTGACAAATTCTGCCTTGCCAGGTGTCAAAAAATATGGTTCAGAATGCATCAGTAGTGTCAAAGGAAAATCATTTATGCCATTCCCTGGATTACCACTTCTGACTCTTATCTTTCCTGAAGTAGGAATTCACATAGCTTGTGATGGAGTCTTTATTTTAGGTTACATGAGACAAATGGTAAAACTCTTCAGGTATCAGCACTGAATCTTTAGGTTCAATTCATTTGCTAGATTTGGCCTGTAACATTTGGCTCTGGGATTCCTGGTGGCCAAAGGAAAACAGGAAACATCACAAGAGTTGTATTACCTGTAAGATAGGAACAGCTTAGTTTTTAAAAAAAGAAAACTTCTCTTAAAACTCAAGGCAGAAAGATGTCAGAATAGGGTACAAGTAATTTCTCCCTTCAGCCTAGGGAATTGGCTTATATCGTAGTTTTTTCCACTCCTTTTGTGGTATCTATATGTAGATAGGATATATGATTCATGTGGCAAAGGTCAGGAGTCTGAACATTTGGGTAATGAGTACCTTGTGCTCGGAAGATAAACTGAGCACAGTGTCCCTAGGACAGGTATGATCAAAGAATCCCCTTGGTTGGGGTTTGGACCATTGTCAGCTCATCTGCAAAATCTTTTAAGCTGTCCTGCTCAGTCAAAGCTGCTGTCACCTGAATCTTGGTTATTCATACTATTAATAATGTAGAAATTTTGCCAAGACAATCTTTCGTATTTTTGTGGGACAGGTTTCAGAAATGGTCCACAATCAGTGCCTGTAATCAGCCCTGGCAATCAGTGGGTGACAGATCAGTGCCTTTATGAAATGGAGTTACTAGGAACAGTGTGTCATTGATTGCCTGACATGCCTCCTTATCTGCCATCGTGGAGTTCCTTATGTATTTCCTTCCTGTCTTGTATGCCTCTGGAGCCAGTAAGGAAATAAGGAGAGGTAAGAAGATACAGAGTAAAGCTTACTATTAAGTAACAGGCAGTGATTTGGGCTTCTTTGGTTTTTATCATCAGTATAATGTGAGTTATTCTTGTATGTCAAAATGGGATCTTTTTGCCTTTCTTTTCCTTTCTCCTATTGACCCAGTTTCTTTAGTGTGAGAAATTGGACATATTTTTCTTTCTTTCTTTGAGGAAAGGGCTAGTGGATAGAAGCCCATAGAGAGTGTTAAGTGGGTGATATTTGGGTGCCCTTTCAGGATTATGTTCTATTTTGTTCAAGGAATGCTGTATGCATGGGTAGGTTATTAATAAGGTGGTACTCCCGGTAAATGTTGGTGAGACTTGATGGGAAGAGCTGCTTTCTGTGAATAGTGGCTCTTCTGCTCAGCAGTTGTGTGAAGTCAGTTTACTTACTCTTTGATTTTGTCCCACAACCCAACATAAATTTTTTGGTTCATTTAAAAAAAATTTTCTGGGTGCTTTGTTTGTATTGTTTTTTAACCAAATTGAGTTCATACCATATTAAATGTCAGCTTAAAGACAATTTATTATGGCAGTTTTAAAAAACACAGAATGTAGAGTGAATAGTAGAATGAACTCCATATCCCTGACACCCAGGATTAACAGTAAACTTTCTGGATTCTTGTTCTCTCTCTCCCTTTCCCCTGCTCAGTTCTGGGGAAATAGGGGCAGTATTTTAAGACAAGTCCCAGACCTCATACCATTTCACTCCCATACTTTGTTCTCATGTTCGTTTTTCAATTATTTACCTTTCGTCTGTTGACTTTTCTTTCTCTTGTTTCTGAAATAACACTTGGACTGTGCCCTGGTGATGTTAAAGATACACTTTCTGGTAGTGTTGTGCTTTGCGTGGCGCTTCTTGCACTGGTCTTCATGGATCCTGAGGAAGATAGCTCTGCTGGTATGCAGTTCATGGCTCAATAGAACCCAGCCACCAGTAGAACCCAGAGGTAGGACTGCTACCTCCCTACCTTGTACAGTTAGGTGAAAGACTGCACTCTTGGATGAGGTGTTTAGAAGAAATTGACTCAAATCTAAGTCATGATGATGTTTATTATTTATTAAACTCATGAAGAAACCATGGCTTTGATTAAGACTCTCTAAATGGATACGGCTGGATTCTATTTTGTTTTTCTAATTACCTACACAGAAAAGTGTTGATATTACCAGTTAATCATTTATAAGCTTGTCATCTTTTGAGTACAGTAATAATTTATTTGTGCAAGGTTTCAGTTTTTTTAAACTTTTATTTTAGGTTCAGGAGTACATGTGCAGGTTTGTTATATAGGTAAATTACACATCACGAAGATTTGGCATACAGACCATTTCATTAACCAGGTAATAAGTATAGTATTCGATAGGCAGTTTTTCAAGCCTCACCTTCCTCCCATCTTCCACTCTCAAGTAGGCCCTGGTGTCTGTTGTTCCCTTCTTTCTGTCCGTGTATACTCAGTGTTTAGCTTCCACTTACAAATGAGAGCATGCAATATTTGGTTTTCCGCTCCTGTATTACTTCACTTAGGCTAATGGCCTCTAGCTGCATCCATGTTGCTGCAAAGGACATGATCTCATTCTTTTTATTTTAATGATTGTGTAATGTTCCATGGTATATATATACCATATTTTCCTTATCCAATCTATCATTGATGGGCATTTAGGTTGATTTCACTTCTTTGCCATTGTGAATAGTCCTGCAATGAACTACACGTGCATGTGTCTTTATGGTAGAACAATTTATATTTTTGGGGGTATATACCAAATAATGGGATTACTGAATCTAATGGTAATTCTGTTTTAAGTTCTTTGAGAAATCACCAAACTGCTTTCCACAATACCTGACCTAATTTACATTCCCACCAGCAGTATGTAAGTGTTCTCTTTTCTCCACAACCTTGTCAGCATCTGTTACTTTTGGCTTTTTAATAACAGCCATTCTGACTAGTATGAGATGGTATCATTGTAGCTTTGGTTTGCATTTCTCTAATGATTAGTGATGATGAGCATTTTTGCATATGCTTATTGGCTGCATGTGTGTGTTCTTTTGAAAAAAATTCAGTTTTTAAAGGTTTTCATGTAAGTTATCATGTTCAAGTCCCACGACAGCATTGCGAGTAGGGAAAAGTATTAAATTCCTCCCAGTTAAGTTAGAGAAAAGTAGAAGATAAGAGGGGATTAGTTATTGACTTGAGTTTAGCTCTGTGGTCTCCTAGACTAGAAGTTCTTTCTCTTTTAAATGTGTTTTGAGTTGCTTTGGAATGGTTTTGAAATTGAAATGTGCCTCATTCTTTATACTTGTTTCTTCAAAGTTTTGTCTTATGTTTGGAAAATTCTCAATACCTTTAACCAGGTCTTGGAGATGCTCAGGCGAACCACATGCTTCCTGGCATCCTATTCTAGGACAAGGCCAGAGCAGCATGCATAGCCCCTCTTGGAGCTGTTTGATTCCTGATATTACCATCTCTCCCCCATAAATTTGGTTTCTACCTGTCCACTGCTACCTGAGACCGAGGCTGTGACCATTGCCAGGCATTTTTATTTGGGTATGCTTGTGACTTTTATGACAGAGTGGAATTTATTTGAGCCTAAATAAAGTGTCTGGAATTTTTCCTGGAGACTCGAGACATTTGGTGCAGTAAAGAAATTGTTCTTAGATTTCTCTATCCTCATAGAAATTTTGATTCGAGCACTTTATTGCCCAATTTCTTTCAAAGGGAGTAATTCCAAAAAAGATGTTTAAAGTATCTAGACATGAACATTCTAAAATTTAAATATTTAAAAAATTGTTTTTTAAGAGACAGAATCTTTTTCTGTTACCCAGGCTGGAGTGCAGTGGCATGATCACAGCTCACTGCAGCCTCCAACTCCTAGGTTCAAGCCATCTTCCTGCCCCAGCCTTCCACAGAGCTAGGACTACAGACTCCAGGTGTGTGCTGCCACACCTGGCTAACATGAACATTCTATTGACTTAAATTCCTCTAGGGTATAGAATGATGCTTCAAGGTTTATGGTTTATTCAGTGAAGCATAAAAGAAAACAAATTATTATAACAGCAATCTAAACATTTGTGTACTTTGTTTCTCCCAAAGAGAAACATCAGCTAAAATTGATTTCCTGCTCAAAGGTCTTGCCTGCTGCAGATGTATTTCATAAAATATGATTTATGCATTTGATTTAGTGACATTACATGTATTTATAGTACTAAATAGTTTAGGAATTGAATATAATTTCAATGCATATATTTTAACCATCATTTATTATTCAATAGATTATTATATAAAATAGGTTAATATAATTTCAAGTATGAAGTTGCTTTGGAAAAAGTAAAGGAAATCCATCTAAAATCAGAAGTAATGGGTATTACAAAACATTTTCCACAATAGGCAGGGCTATTTTCAAACAGATAAAGTAGTCAAAATCATTGGTTATACAAATGTTGTGAAACCACAGTTCTGATTTTAATAAATAAAATATAGATCTGCAATTAGTACATTAATTTGTAAATAATACAGTCAAAATGATTCCTAATGTGCTTAGGAAAGGTGTTTTTTTGTTTTTTTGGTAAAAACAAAGCTTCATAGAAAGTCTAATGAGATTTGGGGCTTGTTGAAGATTGTATGTTTTGTGATCATAGCTAGGCTGAATTAGCTAGTTATGGTCAGGGGGCTACCAAAGAGCCTTTCCATAAATGGGCCTGGGCTCCTAGAGCCTGATAAGAAATCAGAGACCTTTATTTTAGTGGCTGTGTGCATGTGAGGATGGTCAGGAAGGGGAGAAAATAGCAAAATGGAATATTTTTGCTTTCGTTGGGAAGTTGCTCTCATGGGCTGGTCTCAGCCTTACCAATGTGCGCTTTGTGACCTCAAGTAAAACACTTTGCTTTGATGTTCCCAGTTTGTGTATAGTTTGAGGATTTAACTAGAATCTGTGACTTTCACATCAGGAGCTTGAATTTCCCCAGATACAAGGTGGTAAGCCAAGAGGTATGAGGTAACATACTAAATATAGCACATATTTTTAAAAGATTTAGGCAAAAGTTGGTTTATATTATTAGTATGGCCATGACTATATTATTAGAACAAAGCACAAAATTTACATGTAGCTTTAAGGTAAACTGTAAACATAAAAATTTGTGCCTTTTATTAGAACCCCTTGGGATGATGCACCTAGACATTCAGGTGGCTGTATTTGACCTCTACTCATAGTATTCTTGGGAGAAAGTATTCAGAATGACAGTTGATTTTTTTAAAAAGTAAATTGTCTTGTGTATATTTAAGGTATATGACATGATGTTATAGGATACATATAGATAGTAAAACAGTTACTATAGTGAAACAATATATCCATCATCTCATATGTTACCCAATTTTTGTTTTTGTGGCAAAAGAAGCTAAAAATTTACTCATTTAATAAGAATCCCATATAGAATGTGATTTTATTACCTATAGTCCTCATATTGTACATCAGTGCTTTAGACTTGTTTGCCAGCTGCTAGATGACATCTAAAATCTTCTTTCGCTTTTAGTTTATGTCATTCCTAAGAACTGATCATGGATGCCTTTTTATCTTAGCAATCAAGTGTTTTGTTTTATAGTTGTTTTATATAGTAGGTTATTTAAAACAGCATGTGCCATCTAAGTAGTGTAATTCCAATTATGTTAAAATATATAGGCCCTTTTTTTTCATTTACGTTATGTATCAAGCGCCCGTTATATGTTAGGCACTCTTTTGGACTTCTGTTTTTGTTTTTTGTTTCTTTTTGAGACAGGCTCGCTCTGTCACCCAGGCTGCAGTGTAGTTGCACAAACTTGGCTCGTTGCAGTCTCCACCTCCCGAGTACCTGGGATTACAGGCACTTTAGTAGAGACAGAGTTTTGCAATATTTACTGGGCTGGTCTTGAACTTTTGGCCTCTAGTGATCTTCCCGCTTCAGCCTCCCAAAGTGCTGGGATTACAGGCATGAGCCACTATACCCAGCCTCTTTTTGGGCTTTCAACAAGTACATTTTCCTTGTTTAAATATTTAACTTAAATTGTTAATATTTTGAATATATAATAAATTCACATGGTTCAAAATTCAAATGGTATGAAAACTTATACAGTATCAAGTGTATCTCCCTCCTTTGGTACCCAGGTCTACTTCCTGGAGGTAGTGGATGTTGCTTTCAAAGCCTTCAAGTGATATTGTATGTTTGTATTAACAAATATGTATATATCTCCTTCCCTCCCTCTCTTACACAAATGGTAGCATATGTTAAATCAAGTTTCGTCTAAAGCTGCCTTTCTATATGTTTTAAGTTCAGTGTAAAGGTTTCTCTGTTTATAGTAAACTATACCTAAATGAAGGTGTAAACAGACTGTAACCCACTCTTGTGCCAATCACCAGTTTTTGACCAATCAAAGGGGGCCAAATGTTCAAACCATTTTCAAATAAGGCAAACGCCAAGCTGTAACCACTCCAGCTATTTCTGTGCCTCGCTTCCATTTTCTGTACTTTGCTTTCCTTTTTCTTTCTATAAATCTTCTTCCACCTTGTGGCTGTGCTAGAGCCCCTCTGAGCCTACTATGGCTTGGGAGGCTGCTTGACTCATGAATTATTCTTTGCTCAATTAAACTCTGTTAAATTTAATTTGGCTAAGGATTTTCTTTTAACGTATACAATACATATGAATCTGCTGCCTCGTTTTTTTCATTTGACAATTAGATTTGTCCTGAAGGATATATACCTGTTAGCACTAGTTATCTCTGAAAGATCAGATGGAGTATGCTTGCCTTGCAGTGTCTGTTTATCTGTCTGTCTATGTATTTTACTTTATATGTTTCTGTATTGCTTGACTCTTTTTACTGGGAGAATATTGCCTTTTTGATAATGGGGGAAAATCCTTTTCTAAGAAAGAGATAGTGTAAGGTAAGTAAATCCACACAAACACATATAAATCAGATCTTTGATTGTT